ATTAGCTCTGCCAGCTACGGCATCATGTTGGCTCATGTTCATTCTGTAGTCTATCATGACACCCGGGTCTCATTCAGTTGTGGTGCTCACAAGTGTTGCACTGCCTGGCCTGTAAGTGTGTTGCAGATTATTTCTCCCCAGATGGGACACTCTACATTTCTCCGTATTAAATGTCATCAGGTTAAGATCCACCCACTTCGCAAGCCTGTCCAGGTCAGCCTGTATTGCCAACCTAGTTGCTGGAAGATAATGCTCTCCTCAAGCAAAAGTGCCCTCAGGCCTGTTTTATATGTTCCCACACAGGGCTACCCTTGAAAAGTATCTAGAGGCTGCACCTGGTGCAGAATGCAGTGGCCCACCTTCTGACAGGGATAGGTCACTCTAGCGTCTGCACTGGCTCCCAGTAGCTTTCTGGGCATAGTTGAAGGTGCTGGTTTTGACCTATAAGGCCCTAAATGGCCTGGCCCCTACATACCTAAAGGATGGCATTCTTCCTTACATTTCATCATGTTTCCTAAGGTCAGCCAAAGGCAACTTCCTGCATGTACCATAGTATGTCAAACCTGCTTGGTGAAAATGTGAAGGAAGTCATTCTTAAGAACAGCTCTTCAGCTCTGGAACTCCCTCCCTCTTGAGGCCCACCAAAGCAGAGGCAGGCCAAATACAACCTATGGGCCGGATCCAGCCTGCCAGGCACTTTCATCTGGCCTGCAATGCCCACCAATTAACTGTACCCACCCAACCCTTTCACCCATGACAGTGGGATCAAGGCACTCATGTAGACACACTCCACTTTGCGCCTTGCTCCCACCCTTGTGGGCGGCAGGGCTCGGCCCCACCAGCACACAGCTTCCAGGCAGGGCTCCTACTGCCATTGCTGTGGCTGCCAGGGGACCTGCTCAGCTTCCCCGGCATCCTGCTGCAGCTGGGTGGGAGTGGGGAGTGTGGGGCTGGGGGTGGCAGCAGCATGAAGCCTGCCTCCGAGGGGTGGTGGCAGCGCAGAGCTCAGGTGGGCAGGGTGTGGGTGTGAGGGAGGATGGGAGTTAGGGGTGGGACTTCTAATCTCAAGATGGTGACCAGGGGGTAGGGCAACTGTCAAGGGGCAGGACTACCCATGCAGCCCTTGACAACTCACTAAAACTCATTAAGTGTCCCCTCAGCAGACATAATTGCTTGCCCCTGCACCAAAGCCTGAGTCAGGACATCTTTTGGAAGGGGTGCAAGCTTTTCTTATTTAGGCAGGTGTTTAGCAAACAAAGCTAGTCTGAGATGTTGTATAGGGGCCTCTATTTTATTTTAGTATTTTAGTTTCCCTGTTAAGTTGTTCTTTTCTCTTACTGTAAGTTGCCCTGAGGCTTTGTTGGGAAAGGAGCCATATAAATTGTATAAATAATAAACTAATACATGTAAACCATCTGCAGAGGTCCCAGAAAAGCCACTATGATTCCTGGAGAAATC